GGTAACATCTGGAGCTACACATAAATACCTGATGCTTAAACAGGAGACTCATATTTTTGCTCAACCAGAAATCAGTTGAGTGACTCTTTAACAACGATACCCACAAGTCCTCTTTGCCTTTCTCCTTGGTGTGTCTGTAAGGTAACTGTTGCTGCATGCCTCTCTGAATGTCACTTTCTTTCCTTTTTCAGAGTTTCTTTGAAGGACAGTCTGCACCGTGGGACTCAGCTAAGAAAGATGAGAACAGAATGAAAAACAGATACGGGAATATCATTGCATGTAAGTGGTGACAAGATCATTGTGCCCTGGGGGCACTTCCCTTCAGAGCCTGGTGAGGATGGCCACCAGCCTCCTGCTCACATCAGGCCTCTGTTCCTCTCATTCAGGAGATAAAAGTGAGGGAAGATGTTAAATGTATTTTTTTGGGGGGGAGAAAACTGTCAGATTTAATGTATTTCCTCACCTAGTCTTCTGTACACCTTCCAACCTGTGGTCAGTGTTTGGTTAGTGGGGAGTGACACCTTTAACCAGTACTCAGCTCTAACAGCTCCCAAACTGCTCCTGGCAGCTTAGTGATGGCATCGTGCAGTTAGTGACCTTGTTGTTGGGTTCTGGAATCTGTATGTGCTTAAAAATGCCAAATTTGAGAAAGATTAGATAGACTAATAATCAAATACCTTGAGGTGAGAGCACACTTTGGTGAAAGACTCCTAAATCTGGCATCATGAGATTGTAAAGTGTGGCAAGAGATGCTGCACATGGACATGGGGGGCAGAAAATGGATCAAGTTTGGTGAAATTATGTTGTTATTTCTACATTGCTGCATTTAAAGGGTAAGTTCCTTGTGTGTGTAGGAGATGATCCCATCCCTGATTGTTCCCTCCAAGTCTAAGGTTAAGATATGAAGCACGTGTGCTTGCAACAGCCAGACAGATAACCCTGAAGTGGGTATAAGCAGAGAAATAGAATCATAGAATCATTTTGGTTGGAAGAGATCTTTAAGATCATTGAGTCCAACCATTCCCCCAGCACTGCCAGGTCCCCACTGCCCCGTGTCCCTCACACCACATCTCCACAGCTTGGAAACCCCTCCAGGGGTGGGGACTCCACCACTGCCCTGGGCAGCCTGGGACAACCCTGGACAACTCTTCTGGTCAAGAATTTTTCCCTAATATCCAACGTAAACCTCTCCTGGCACAACTTGAGGCTGTTTCCTTATGGATAAAGGAAATTAAATCTAGAGAAATGGGAGTATCATGATGGGCTGGAACATAAGCCAAAGAAGATAAATTAGCCAGATGTGGTTTTGCATGTTCCCCTGCAAGCAATCTTTAATGTGTAACAAACTTGTTATTTTGTGAGGAGGTAGCAATACATTAGGTGACTATTATAAATTAAGTAAAAATACCAAAAGCATAAGTAAGGATACCCAAAAAATTCAGTTTATCCTTCCTTTGTGAAATTTTATTTCCAGTTCAAGCTTGTGACAATGGGTCTTCTCTTTTAGTCAGGTTTAGTGTTGTCAGTCCCCTCTTTAATGTCATGCCTTACACTTGGGGACCCTTTGGTTGAAGAAAACAGAGGACTCCTCGTGCTGTGTGTCTGAGGTAATGAAGTGATGAGTGGCCAAGGGAAAACAAGTAAAAGATATTAGATGCACAAATCAATGGCAATTACAAGGGATCCTGAAGGCTTTCTGAGGGGGCAAATATAACTCAGATCATTTAGGTCTCCATTTACTTTCAACCTCCTCAGTATTTAGCAAAGGCAAAGAGTTGGATGGAATTGTTGTCAATGACACTTCCTAGTTCTGTGGCAGTGAAGACACAGATAACACCAGTTAAAATTAAAATCCATTAGAGTGAAAGGCAGTAGCCTAAAAGAGAGGCTGAAACTGCCCATAGTTGGTTGTCTATTTAACATACCTCTGTGCAAATAGGGTAGTTAGCTGTTTAATTATTTTATCTATTTTTTCTGCCAGATAAATGATCACTTGTCTCAGAGGTTTTAGTAGTCCACTTCTGAACATTTGGCCCATGTGGCTGTATAAAGTATTTCCTTTAGCTGAAAAGCATTTTACTAAATTGCTCTTTTATGCTATATTTAAAGACTTAAAAATATGATATTTCAGCTGCCACACTGACTGTGGAGACATTAGAAGGAGTTGTTTATTTTTTTTCTGTGAAGCCTAGAATGTAATATTTTTTTTTCACCCATTTATCCTCTTTGTTTATATTTTCCCCAAGATGCTTCCATTGTTTCTTGTGGTCATTATTGTTCTCTGAGGGAACTAAAACAATAGCCAGCGTTGCAGGAGCTTGTCAGGATGGCAGCATGCTGTACATTACCCAAGTGATGGGTCTTTAATTGCCTACATGTCCTGCTCACCACAGGAAAGGGGCTACAGCTTGTGAGCCAGGGCCTCAACAAGCTGGATCATGATCCAAGTCCAAGCACCCAGAGATGTGCTCCCTCTCTGCTGGACACCAAGAGCTTTGTGAGCACAGGGTCAGGGCGTGGGTTGGGTTGGAAAAGGTCCTTAAAGGTCATCTCATCCAACCCCAGCCTGGGTTGATAGGGGAGGTTGCCCCAACCCAGGTGCAGGACCTTGCCCTTGGCCTTCTTGAACCTCATGAGATCACCTGGGCCACTTCTCAACCTTGTCCAGGTCCCTCTGGATGGGGTCTTGTCCCTCAGGCATGGATATGTTTTCTCATTAGGAACTAAAACCAGCATCAATTTGCTAACAAAACCTTTTTTTACCTAGAAAAAAAATGCTGTTTCTGCCTTAATTACATAGGGTTATACAGGGGTTTTGATAAAAATCTGTTAATTTTTCCCCAGGGGAGATCTTGAGGTGATTTTCAGAACAGGAGGGGTTCTGTATTTATTTTTACCTAACTCAATATTGACTCCATGGGAAGAGATTATTGATCACAGCTTTTAAAAGCAGCTAAAGATTTTAGGTGAGACATTTATAAAGGGCTTGATTTGCAAAGAACCAGCAAGGCACGTCCAAAGAAAGGGTCATTGGCTGGGCATACTAATTAACCAGCTACTCATGGGGCTCGTTAGAGATCACAGTCTGCAGGGTGGCATATCCATGTAGTAGGTAATGTGAGGGGAGCAAGGATAAAAAGCTTCTATTAATTATCTATTACCACCTTCTCCAGAAGCAAATGGATTCTAACACAACTCCTTCTGAAAGCTTAAGTGATCAGTGCAAAGTTTGATCCCCTCATAGAAGGGTATCAAAATAACAACCAGCTGGGAAAGGAGAGGATTGAAAAGCTGCAAAAATGGTCAAGAGCAGATGAAGCATAAAGGAAAAAAATACCCTAAAAGTGTAGAGTTAACATGGAAGCTGCTTAAGAATCAGCATATATGGTGGAAGAATATATGAGTTGGGTTTAAATCTACTTGACGTAAGCACAGGAACATTTCTTTATGTTGACTACAGAATTTTTTCCAATTAAGAAGTGTTGCCATGCAGTGAGGAGCTAAGTAGAGTTTTCACAGCAATAAAAAAAAAAATAGGGGAGTCAGTCCAGCTGCATGGCAAATAAATGGGTATTAATAAATGGGTATTGAACAGTCCATTACCCCTGGAATTCCCTGAAATTCAGCTGAGAATGCACCACTGGAAAAGGTGCTTGTGAGAAGAAAAAAGGGCAAAAAGATTATGTGAAGATAGAGGTATGATGTAACTTATTTCATTTTGCCCAATCCAAAGCAAAGGAAGGGAAAAAAATGGAATAAATAAAGTAACAAAATGAAGGGAAAGATAAAAAGTTACCACTGACTATGATTCCATTGTTTAAATCAGGCTAAAAGAAATAATGGGAAATGTTTAAGAGGGTCCTTAGTGGGGAATTGAAGCTTGTTTTGCCCAATCTGGAGCTCATTGGTGGGCAGGCCATCGAAGAAGGGACTCAGTTGCCCAAATGTAGACGTGTAGTGGTGACCCAGGACATCTCTGCAGGTGTGGCACTACCCATGGGAGGCTTGTGTTACTCCAGGGTGGCAGCTGAAGGCCAGGGAGTGTATCCCAGGGTGGCGAAAGTGGCATGAGATGCTTGTGCTTAGACAACTAAATCCTACCCTAAGTAATTCAAGAAATATATAAAAAAAAAAGATCTTGACTAGCCTGATTTATCCTGGTGAGAATAATGCAGGAAATCATGAAAATGTGGATGGAAATGTACCACGAGTCCAAGCAAGCTTGACTTCTGAAGTCTCCTGACTTCAGCAGAGGTTGGTTGAGGTCCCAAAACTGCAAAAGCAGCAGCCATGTGTGGAGCTTAGAAAGTTCCTATTGAAGTATCTTTGAGAATTAAGGGCCTGTGAGCCAAACCTCTGTTGTAAAGATGCTGATAAATGGCTTAATTAAGCAGAGAGTAGCACAGCATAGTTTGTTAGGGTCAGACCAGCATGGGTTAAGTCATGGAGGGTCACACCTCTGTAAATTTTTAGCCTTGGAGAGGTGAATGAAGGGGCTCAAAAGGATAACCTGGTGAACACAATTGATTTGAATATTCCAGCACGTTTGGAAAAAACTCTTTTTGTGAAGGCTGTTGGGTGAAACAATCACAAGATAATGGCAAAATAGGAGCTGTGTGGAACCTAAAGCTGGAGTTTTAGTTCAGTCTGATTTACTTGGTTGGGTTGCAAGCTGGGACCTTTCTCTGTCCCAGGAGAAGGAGGCTCTGAGACCTCTATGAACATAAAAGAGGGTAAAATAAAGAATTTGCCTCTTCCTTTCCTACACAGAGATTTGAATATCTCTTAGCTTGTAATTTTGAAACAGTATTTTAAAAACCACTTGCCTCTCCTTACTCTGCTGTAATTTGGGCCAACATTACACTATGTAGGATGAAATTGGGTTTTTTTAAGCCACTTCATGTTCTTTCATCCCTTCCAGAAAAGTCGTTGCGTTGGGTTGCTTTTGAACCAAGAGCATCAAGAGGAGCATAGGAAGCCTCAAAGAAAAGCAAGTTCTGCCAGGATAGAGGGATTCTAGCTGCTAGAACTTCTTAATCACTCTCGTGGTATCAGAAGGAAGATGAGGCAGCTGACAAATAACAAATTTGTGGCATCGTGTTTGAAACTGGAATTTGGAAAAGAGAGTGGGAAGGGTTTGCATGTTCCTGGATGGATATAGATGGACACAGTGGAGCCAAATTCAGTGACAGAGCCATTGTCTGACTGCTGGGGTTTTGTCATGACCTGGGTCTGCTTTCTCTCTTCCTGAAAGCATCCTGGGTTTCCTTCAGAATCTGTGAGGTGACCCTATGTCTTACTCTGAGTCCTGGCAGAAGCATTTCCCAGTGACTAAAACCTTTGGCAGCTTCCTGTTGGTTTATTGGCTAAAGAGGAGGTGTCAAGGCAAAAAAGAAACCACCCATAATTGCAATGGATTTCACATTAGAAATATTTAAGGTGCTCAGACTGAAAATCAGAGGGGATTTGGGAAGGAATGCCTTGAGAGGAGGATTAAATGTAGAGACAGTGTTTTCATGCAGCACAAAACAAACATGAACTTGCAAATGCTGAGGTTTTAGTTTAAAGTAGTATTTTGATGAAGGCTTTGTTAGCAAACGTGTCTTTAATGACTTCTTTTTTTTCTCTCCATTGTTCCTCTTTCAGACGATCATTCTCGAGTGAGGCTGCAGCCCATTGAAGGGGAAACAAGTTCTGATTACATCAATGGGAATTATATTGATGTGAGTATGCTGGTGCAGACAACAAACTTCACATTGTGTTCAAAGAGGGAGCTGGTGTTATTCTCAAGTTATTCATCATTTGTAATAGATATCACAGCTAATATCAGCTGCTAAACGTTGTTGGGAAGTGCTGTCTTTGAAAGGTAGGTGTACACACAAGGAGGGGGAAAAAAAAAGCCTCAAAGATTTTGTCAATAAGCAAATGAAAGGAATCATTTCCTCCAACTGCCAGTAGACTGAGACCTTGCCAGAAACACTGTGTGGCTACTTTGCCTCCTGGTGCTTCTGTGGGCTAGCAAAATGTTATTTTCACTTTCTGTCAACAGCTTGGCATCGTTCCACATTTAAAAGAAAGCTGTTTGCATATTAATGTGACAAAACTCTGTAATGCCTAATGCAGAGATTTGCAATCTCTTGTCATCTCTGCACTTTTAAGTCGCCTTCAAAGTATATTCTGCAGCTGTTAACCAGCACTTCTAATGCAAGCAAGACATTCCATTAAATATGTAGGCTGTTTAATTATTGAAGGTGGCTTCTTTGTTCATTCTGGATCGTGTTAACTTAATGTTTTACATTAGAATAAATTCTTTAAGAGACAAGGTGTTTGGGGTTGGAGGAATGCAGTCAGAAGTAGGATTGAAAATCATTAGAAAGCCAATACTATCTAAAGGCAGAACTCTACAGAGAGCAAAGGCAATAAATGTATTGCTTACATGCAGTGCTGGATGTTAGGCTAAGTAAAACAAGTGTTGCTTCATAGGAAGCTGCACCTGCTAAAGATTTCTTGTTCAGCAGTGGCATCTTTGAAAAATGGTGTCACGGTTTGCAGTTCAAATTTAATCACCAGTATGCAAGACAAATGTAACATGTTCTTCTCAGAGCTGGAGCTGCACGAGGAAAGCAGGTACTTCACCTGGAACAGCCTGAAGTCTGAAGCTGTAGCTTTCTGAAGACATCTCCTTCCACAGATGTTTGTTGGCATGTTTGAGAATCCCCAAGTTATGCTCTGATTTCTGCTCAGTCCTTTGGAGTTTGAACTAATAACACAGTTCCCAAGAAATATGTTTACTTAGATGTCTCACTAAACTAAGAGGATGGAGGGAATGTGGCCCTAGAAGAACCAGTGGGGGAGAAGCAAAATGTTCTCTCCCTTCATCCTCAGCAGAAGCCTTCATTGCAAAGCTTGGAGGACTGCAGACATCTTCCAGAGACAGCTCTGCCACAAAACACAGCACTTCTGGTTTATAATCTATCAAGTTTCCATTTTAGAAAAGGCTGTTTTGCTACTACAGAACCAGCTGCAATTTTCCTCTTGCATGCAGTTGTTAGTACAGTTGTCAGACAGAAGCATGTTAATAAGGGGAGGACACTGCCACAGACATTATGACATTTTCTTGGATGGAAGAGGGAGGGGCAATAAGAATGCTGTATTTTTTCTCATGTGGTTTTTCACTGGGAAAGGGAATTGTTTGATCCCAGTCATTAGGAGTATTAAATAGCAGGAAAAATATCAACCCTGTAGCTACCTGAACCCTTCTAGCTTCGTAGACTTCCAATTTTTGTTTCAGTGGCACATAAAGGAATTAATTCTGTTATTCATGTTAATCTTTCCATAATAGTCAAGATGTCTTCAGTTGTTTGGGGTCTTTCCCAGCTTACACCACTGCAATGCCTCTTTACAGCTTTATATTCTTCCTGACAACACATCACAACTATTATTAAAAGATGACCAGTGGTCTAACTGAGTTCACCCACATACTAGTGCATGGTCTGAACCTCTGCTGGCACTCCCATCACGTCCAAAACCCCAACACTATCAAAATGGTTTTGTTCCCTATTGGCAGCCTGTTCCATACTGCAGAGAATCCAGAGTATTGGTCTCTATGAAACAGCCAAGTTGTGATTGAGCTGCTCTTGTCATCACAGAGTTGTTTCACATTCCTCCTTTTTACACATGAACAAGTGTTTTCCTACCAAACCACTGAGGCAGAAGAATTCCCCCTCCTTATCACCCTTCAGAACTCAAACACCAACCAACCACAGTGGACAGAGGGAATGTTCCCCAGCCTGCTGAGTGCAGATCCAGTAGGTGTTTGAAAAGGGGAGGGCTTTGCCCTCAGCAGCACAGCTGAAAAAGTTACAATTTTGTTCAAGAACCACTATTATTTTTGTTCAAGAACGTGCATTGTTTTGTTCAAGCACAAAACTTACTTTTTTTTTTCTTTTTTTTCAATTTATTTCAGGGTTATCATAGACCAAATCACTACATTGCTACACAAGGTAAGTTTATCACCCTTTCTTTTCAGTTAGGTGAGGCTAAGAGGTTTTGGATTACAGTTTATACTCTTTAACATGCATTCTTGCCACAGTCAATATCCAGGACAGAGCAGGTTCAATGTCTTAGCAACTGAATTATTACCTAATTTTCAGGGATGTCAAGTAATCTAAAGGTCCTTCAGCTTTCTGTTCAGATAGGTTTTGAGGAGAAAAGCAAAATACATCCTTTTTACTGGAAGTGACTTAAAATGTGAATAAGAACCTATTCTCTTTATCAACATCCAAATTAATTATCAACTTGTACTTGTCTTCCAAGACTGAATTTGCCCATTCTGATGCAGTTGCTATTTATTTTTTGCTCCAGCTTAGAGCCAGAACAGGTAAGTTGAGGCTTCTGTGGCTCCTTAATCATAATATTGGACAACGTGGCAATATCCTGGCTGTGTTTGGGTGGTGGGGATGTGAAGATTGGATTGCTCCTCCACTGCCTGGAGGGAGTCTTCTCCACGATAGGTGTTCTTGTGACAGAGCTCCCTGCACTTGCCCATGGATCTGAAGAAGCTGAGCTCCACCCACATATGTTATTTCAACATATGCCCAAGATTTTCAGAGAGCCAGCTGGAGGACTGAGTGCAGTGTGCTCAGAATAATCTTACCACGTGTTGAGTTTAGAGGTCATATAAACCTTTTAATGACTTTTTTACAGAAGCAGGAAAGTGTTGGCTGTGTCAGTAAGAGCTCTCACTGTCTTTTCAGTTGTCTCTTCTGTCTAGAACCACCCTCTACTGTGAATATTACACTTTTAGACCAGAATTAGAATTTATTCTCTTGGAATACGAGCCATTTAAATGTGCTGCTTCTTCCACTTCTGCTGCCCACCCACCACACCCATCAGTCCAGTCTTTCTACACATGAGCCAGGCAGTAAAACTAGGATGAAAATGTTTGCTTAATTCCCTTTGGGCTTTTACAGCCTCCTAAGAAGAAATGGATTGTTCCATTTAACCATTAGCTAATGATGCTGTCGATTTTCCCCTTTAATTGAACCCTAAAATAAAAAGATACAGAGCTGGCATTTTGCTTGCAGGTTGTCCTGCAGCTGTGTTCATGGGGAGGTTCACCAGAACATCTCCCCCAGAGCTTTATGATAGACATGTGAGATCCCTGGCTGAAGGAAGTTGAAATGCAGCTTTATCCCTCAGCATGTAGGTAGAAAATACCAACCTGGAGGGTTTTGTACTTTCAGCTCTTAAAGCCAAGTGCATAATAATGCATTAATAATGCACTGAACATCATGCACCAGCTCCACCAGCAGGTCCCAACACTTTCTTTGCCACATTTTTTTCCTGATACAAGAAAAACTCTTCTTCTAGTGTCAAGAACTAGAATAAGAGGGGCAGAAACAAATCTTTTTCCAAGATATGGCTGTATCTTCCATAAATCCCTTGATCTATGACTGTTTCAGCTGTCATTCTTTGAGTCAGGTCCCACAGGTTTCTTCTGTGTAGGAGCAGCCACGTGCACACAGGGGTACCTAACACCCCTCCATGGTACAATGAGTGAGAAACTCTCTCTGAAGACTATAACCTGCATTTAAAATGGGCATACAGTGTAGAGCAAATTGAGAATAGCCTGCCCGTGGGATTTTGGGTGGATTACATCTTTAACATCTTATTTTTTAAGGCCAGTTGGGAAGCAGATTTGTATCTGTGTTTTGGAGGAGTGAAGAACCCTGCTCTCAAGAGGTTTACGTGTTCATTCTGGCTCTGTCCTTGGCCTGATGAAGAATTATGAGAAAGCTTCTTTTCCTTCCTCTGTCTCAGCTTTCCCATCTGCAGAATAGGGTTAAAAATACTAAAAAAAAATGCTTTTTATAGCCCTCTGCAACATCCTGAGAGCTGCAGCTGTGTAAAGTCTAGGGAGTGTTATTCTCCAGTGTCCCAGCTTTGGCACAGGAGAATCACAGAACCATTTTGGGTTGGAAGAGACCTGGAAGATCCTTGAGTCCCATCAGCCCTTAACCCAGGACCTCTGAGGCTCATTGCAAGCAAGAGGCAGCCTGCAGAGGTGGGAAGGGAGCTGGGAATAATCCCTAAAACTCCTTGAAGGCTTCGAATTAGCTGGGAAAGGGAAGACATTGGTTTCACATGTCCAAGAGCCACGGCTGTCAGTGCAAGCTGCTGCTCTGTTTCAGAGCCCACTTCCACCCAGATCCATACAAACACAGCCTGTTTCATTCCCCAGATGTCTGCTTTCTGTCAGCCTTCAAATAACTTTTCCCCTTCTCCCTTTCCCAGCAGCTTTTGCAGGTGCACACGCCCATTGTGCTTTGAAGGGAAATGTCATTCCCTGAGTCAGCCTGAGATCTCTGAGGAGTTGGAATGATTGATATTTAATTGTCCTGTGTTCTTCTTAAGCTGCGTTCAACATATCAAGTGTTAATGAGCAAATATAATTGTTTGAAGTGAAGAAGTGGCAAATTTAATCAGTTTGTAATAGACTAGCAATCTGCTTTTAACAGAGCTGGGAGTTGCATAATCACCTGTTTATTAAAGTGTTTCTGTCTTCCATACTAACCAGAGTTTGACGTACAGACAGGGATCTTTCCACCTTGGCATCCACTTTTTAAAAGACTTCCCTGATGGAGGTTTCTCAGCTAATAATCCAAAAAGGTTCCACTTATTTTAAGAGCAGCACATTCAGAGCGTGCAATTCCAGTTATAAAATCAACATCCATTTACATGAGCAGTATAACAGGCTGAATTTGCAGCTAATAAAGACTTTTGGTGATCTGCTGTAACAACAGATGGGATCTGCACCTGAGTCACCATGATTAAAAAGATTCCCTTGTCAGAAACTGGCATATTGGGTCATGAAGAAGCAGCAAGCTGGTGCAATTTAAATCTCACTATTTTGGTTTATATCTCCCTCGTTCCCATGGATATCATTCTTTATTTTATTTTATTTTTAATAGCAAAATATCAAGTTCTTGTGTGATCTGTTCTATTTACTGGCAGCTAGGATTGGTTTGTTTTTTTTTTTTTCCTAGGAGTTAGGTAATCAGTGAATTTTCAACAGATCCTTTAGTGAAGGGATTAGGTTGAATATCTGTGTGACATTTATTCTCACACTCACTGCTGGATGTTCTCACTGTTGTTGATTTTCTGTGGCTCACTCTGATGACTAAGCAGGAAAAATGAATCTGGTTTTACCTTTACTTGGTCTGTGTCCCTTGGTGCTGGGGCAGTTAACTGAGCTATCCCTTAGCTCAAGTCTCTGGCAAAGGTTTTTGTGATGTTTCCTCCACCACTGCACTGGCAATCATGGGTGACAAAAACGTGTTCAGACAGTTCTCCAGCATCACTCCTTGCCATTGCCACCAGGGCTGGTTTCTGAGCAAATCCATCATGTGCCAAGCAGCAGATACTCACAAGCCAGCTGCATGTCCTGAAAGATGAAGGACATTCATTTGCATACCTCAGACTTTGAAATATTCCTTATGGTTCAGATTGTCTCTGCTTGGTGAGCATGCAGAGGAACTGGATTTAGGGACATTTGTGGTATTGCAGCCTTCCAATATCTAAAGGGGCCTACCAGAAAGCTGGGGAGGGACTTTTTACCTGGGCTTGGAATGATAGGATGAGGGATAATGGCTTCAAACTGAAAAGGAGAGATTTAGATTAGAAGGGAGAAGTTCTTCACTGTGAGGGTGGTGAGACACTGGAAGAGGTTTCCCAGGGAAGCTGTGGGTGCTCCATCCCTGGAGGTGTTCAAGACCAGGTTGGATGGGGCTTGGAGCAACCTGCTCTAGTTGAAGATGTCCCTGCCCATGGCAGGGGGGTTGGAACTAGGTGATCTTTAAGGTCCCTTCCAACCCAAACCATTCTATGCCTGTAAAAAGTCACTTTTGAGAACAGAGCAGGTTTAGCTGTAACAGCCCAGTGTGGCCTTTCAACCTCTTTTTGTCTGTGTCCAGTTGTAAAGCAGATGCCAAAGAGTTTCACTTCATGTATAGCTGGTGATGGAGACAGACATCAAGCCAAGCTTCAGCCAGGAGGAGTTTGTTAGCTATGAGCTACAGACTTCTGAAGACAAATATTTAGGATGGAGACGTTTGCAGTGTTAACGACAGCAGCACAAACTCACCACTCTAACAACCCCTTTCATAGTCCTTCTCTTTTCTGCTGAAAAACAACGAAGCAAGGTGGCTCTACACCATTTTTCAGCCCCATAGATGCTGTCATCTTTGCAGGTAGTCAGGTGGATTTCCTGATGTATAGCTGAAGTGATTGAATTTGATCCACCAATATTAGTCTTGAAGATTCGACTGCTTTTGATGCTGTTCTTCACTTCTGAACCACCAAACCATGCAGAAGGTGGTTGAAGCCATCTGTCTTCAGGAAATCCATGTAATCAAACCATCTTTTTTTTACTGTCAAGTTTTATTTTCCAGCTGGTCTTCAGCAGCAGGTCTAAGGCAGCTTTTTGTCTCCTCATTTGCTGCTATAAAGTGTACCCCATTTACAAACAGAAGGTATTTCAGAAGCAAATGTATCAAGAAACAATTAAGGCTTTTTTTTTTATCTTGTCAACATATCCCAGCCTTTGAGACCTTGTTGTCTCTTCTCTATTCTATATCATAGAATCATAGAATCCTTTAGGTTGGAAGGGACCTCCAAGATCATCAAGTCCAACCCTTGAGCCATTAGGGCTCTAAAGTCCTCTGCTAAAACAGATCAGAATCTGTCAGGGTTGGAAGGGACCACAAGGATCCCCCAGTTCCAACCCCTCTGCCATGAGCAGGGACACCTCCCACTAGATCAGGCTGCCCAGAGCCTCCTCCAGCCTGGCCTTAAAGACCCCCAGGGATGGGGCCTCAACCCCCTCCCTGGGCAACCCATTCCAGGGTCTCACCACTCTCATGGGGAAGAACTTCTTCCTCACACCCAGCCTGAATCTGCCCACTGCCAGCTTTGCCCCATTCCCCCTAGTCCTGTCACTGCC